CTCTGGCCCAGCTGTTTGAGGAGAATATGGCCTGGATTTCAAATCATGAGATCAATCAGTCCAAAGTTCTTCTCATCTTCCTCTGCCTTGGAAAAACCCTTACTTTTATCCCAATAGTACAACATGCACCCTTCTGTCACTTCCCTCACATTCTCTGTGCTATTTTCTCTCCTAGTGCTTCTGGGACCTCCAGTTCCTTCGTTAATTACATATTGTGCTTCTTAAACTGCATGTACCTCCTAGACACCACTATGTACAGACCCCTCAAGTGAGGACTTCTCATTTTTTTTTCATCTCCAGAAACTGTATTTCTTGGGAAATAAGTAAGTAAGAGGGAAAGTTATTTTTTTTAACTGCTCTGAAACATTTAAAGCCTTCTTCTTTATTTGCATATGCTATCCAAACATAATCACTTTTACTTTTTCTAGTTTCTTTTTTACCTTATCCTAGGCAATATCTCAAGTTTCTTAACCTACACATTTACCCCATAGTTGCTTGATCTTGTAGAAATCAAAGAACTTCATGTACATATGGTTCCAGCCACCCAGGTTCATGGTTATGGTCTTACCCTTGTCAACCTGAAATGTTGCTGCTCTGAAACATTCCACTCCAGCACCCTATTACCACACAACTTCTACAATTCTATTTCTCTCAGTGTGTCTCCTGGTGTATGTATTCTTTTTCTTTAAAACGTTCAGTTCCTGGAATCCTCCATCTGTTCCTACATTATCACCTCCTTTCCTGTCCATTTAGATACCAAGGCACATCAATCCAATCCCTTTCACAATTACCTCCAACACTGTGCTGCTTTGCCTTTGATATGAACGCTGAAATCAAACAACATTGGATCTCCATCTATTCAACTCCCCACTCTTTCCCTCAGGCTGCTGGTTGCTGCTACAAATAACCACTGTCAAATACATTTGTTTTAGTAAAAAGTTCTGACTACACTTCAAAGATATCTAGAAATTCTTATATATTCCTTACATATTTTTTCAGTACTTCTTCCTTCAAGTTCTCTTATTTCAACGCTTGCCTCCAGTTCTTACAAGATGACCTTTAACTCCTACTTTAGTAAGATCATTGAAAACATTGAGTGAGATAAGCCTGAGTCAACTATTTGCATTCATATTTTATTTCCTGTTTAAGTGAAAAGGGTGAAGAACAATTCTTTCAATATTGCTTTGGATCATGTTTTTTTCCTACCATTCTCATTAACCTTACTCTCTTCAATCATGTATTTATTCTGACCTTGCAACTTCTCCATATCTTAGTACATTTCGTTTTAGCATATAAATATGCTCAGGTTTCACCCATATTTAATAAGACATCAATTCTCAAAACCATGTTATCTGAAACTATTATCTTTCCCCTTTCAAAGAAAAATCTC